GGTGGCCCTGTATGTGAAGGATAGCATAAAATCTAGCCTAATAAAGTTAGTGAGGCGAACATAGAGTTTGTTTGGGTTACGTTAGAATTTGGTAATCATACAGTAACTCGTGTAGGTGTGATTTATAGGCCCCCAGGACAAATTGAAGAGTTAGATAATCTACTAGTTGAGGAAATAGCTAAAATGACAATGAAGGGGGAAGGTTTTATCATGGATAACTTTAATCTTCCTGATGTGAATTGGAAAACAAAAATAGCTGCTTGTGCCAGAAGCACACATATTCTAAACTCCCTACTGGGATTGTCTCTAAAACAAGTCGTTAAGGAGCCAACTCGTAAAGAGGCCATACTAGATTTAGTGTTAATAAATGGAGATTTGGTATCAGATATTACTGTAGGTGAAAGTTTAGGATCCAGTGATCATCAGTTAGTGTGGTTTAATATCAGAACAGTGACTGAGTCACACCACACAAAAACAAAAGTTTTAGACTTTAGAAAAACAGACTTTTCTAAAATTAGAATATGTGTAGAGGAGTCATTATCAGCCTGGAGCAATTTAAATGGAGTCCAAGAGAAATGGGATTATTTAAAAGTTGCACTACTGAAGGCAACAGAAAATTGCATTAGGCTTGTCAGTAAAAGCAAAAAATTCAAGAAACCACTGTGGTACTCCACAGATGTGGCCAAAATAGTTAAAAACAAAAAGTTAGCATTTAGGAATTATAAAAAAACCCAGAGTGAGGAAGACAAAATGTTCTATAAGATTAGGCATAAAGAGGCTAAGCAAGTTATAAGAGCTTCCAAATCACACACAGAAGAGAAAATAGCACAGTCAGTAAAAAAAAGGGGACAAAACATTTTTAGATACATAAATGAGAAAAGGAAAGTAAAACAAGGATTAGTTAGATTAAAAACAAAAGAAGGAAGGTATGTAGAAGAGGATAAAGGTGACTGCCTCAATGAATATTTTTGTTCAACATTTACAGATGAAAATGAAGGAAAGGGGCCTGAGTTAAGAAAAGGGACAAATGGGTTTTTTTTTGTACATGTGAGTTTACAGAGGAAGAGGTTCTATTTCAACTGTCAAAAGTAAGGACGAATAAGTTGATGGGGCCTGATGGGATACACCAAAGTTAGTAAAAGAACTTAGTGGTGTACTAGCAAAATCATTACAGATTTATTTAACCAATAATTGTTAACAGGACTAGTCCCAGAAGATTGGAAGTTAGCAAATGTTGTGCCCATTCACAAGAAAGGTAGTAGGGAGGAGTCGGGCAACTATAGACCAGTAAGCCTTACTTCAGTAGTGGGGAAAGTAATGGAAACCATTTTAAGGATAGGATTGCTGAACATCTAAAATCACGTGGATTTCAAGATCAGAGACAACATGGGTTTACTTCAGGGAGATCATGCCAAACTAATCTTATTGATTATTTTGATAGGGTAACTAAAATTATAGATCAGGGTGGTGCAGTAGACATTGCTTACTTAGATTTCAGTAAGGCTTTTGACACTGTTGCACATAAAAGGCTTATCAATAAATTGCAATCTTTAAGTTTGGATTCCAATACTGTTGAATGGGTAAGACAGAAGCTGAGTGACAGGCAACAGAGGATTGTAGTCAATGGAATATATTCAAAGCTTGGACTTGTCACCAGTGGGGTACCTCAGGGATCTGTACTTGGACCCATTCTCTTTAATATTTTTATTAGTGATATTGCAGAAGGTCTTGATGGTAAGGTATGTCTTTTTGCTGATGATGCTAAAATATGTAACAGGGTTGATGTTCCAGGAGGGATAAGCCAAATGGCAAATGATTTAGGTAAACAAGAAAAATGGTCAGAATTGTGGCAACTGACATTTAATGTGGATAAGTGCAAGATAATGCATCTTGGACGTAAAAACCCAAGGGCAGAGAACAGAATATTTGATAGCGTCCTAACCTCAACATCTGAGGAAAGGGATTTATGGGTGATTATTTCTGATGACTTAAAGGTAGGCAGACAATGTAATAGAGCAGCAGGAAATGCTAGCAGAATGCTTAGTTGTATAGGGAGAGGTATTAGCAGTAGAAAGAGGGAAGTGCTCATGCCATTCTACAGAACACTGGTGAGACCTCACTTGGAGTATTGTACACAGTACTGGAGACCGTATCTTCAAAAGGATATTGATACCTTAGAGAGGGTTCAGAGAAGGGCTACTAAACTGGTTCATGGATTGTGGGATAAAACTTACCAGGAAAGGTTAAAGGATCTTAACATTTATAGCTTGGAGGAAAGACGAGACAGGGGGGATATGATAGAAACATTTAAATATATAAAGGGAATCAACACAGTAAAGGAGGAGACTATATTTAAAAGAAGAAAAACTACCACAACAAGAGGATATAGTCTTAAATTAGAGGGACAAAGGTTTAAAAATAATATCAGGAAGTATTACTTTACTGAGAGGGTAGTGGATGCATGGAATAGCCTTCCAGCTGAAGTGGTAGAGGTTAACACAGTAAAGGAGTTTAAGCATGCGTGGGATAGGCATAAGGCTATCCTAACTATAAGATAAGGCCAGGGACTAATTAAAGTATTGAGAAAATTGGGCAGACTAGATGGGCCGAATGGTTCTTATCTGTCGTCACATTCTATGTTTCTATGTTTCTATGTATGTCTGTATTTGTGTGTCTGGGTATCTTCATGTGTGGCAATGTTTGTATCTGTATGTCTTTGCTTACGTATGTGTGTTAGTGAGTGTACCAAATTGGACAATGGCAACTTATTTCTTCTGTTGAACTTGTGTCTAAACCCTTTGCATGTGTGCACTTTATGCGATAATGACTTTGCCTTCCCATTCATAACATTGTCAAAAAGGGGCAGAGCATGGACGTCATTACATTATTGCTTCCCTCCCCTGAAATATTCATGAAGGAAGCCCATGAATAAATATGTACACATATACATTTCCTTACAGAAACATAAAATGTGACGGCAGATAAGAATTATTATGCCTATCACATGCATGCCTAAACTCCCTCAATGTGTTAACCCCTACAACTTCATCTGGAAGGCTATTTAATGAATCCACTACCCTCTCAGTAAAGTAATACTTCCTGTTATTATTTTTAAACCTTTTCCGATCTAATTTAAGAATATGTTCTTTAGTTGCGGTAGTTTTATGTATCTAAATGTTTCTATCATATCCCCCATCTCGTCTTTCCTCCAAGCTATACATGTTCAGATCCTTTAACTTTTCCTGATAAGTTTCCCTGTAATCCATTAACCAGTTTAGTAGCCCTTCTCTGAACTCTCTCCAAAGTATCAATATCCTTCTCGCGATATGGTCTTCAGTATTGTGTACAATACTCCAAGTGAAGTACAATGGTAAGAGCACTTACATTGAGCAGCTTAATGTAGTGGTGCTAATGCATATAGCATATCCCTGCAACCTTGGCACTGTGAACATGGTACATTGCTGGCTAGTTACACCCCTGTGGCAGTCACTCAGATGGCCACTAGAAGTGCTTTTTTTGTGAGTGCTGCACAGGCGCTGAACATTCCCAGTAGAGATTCATTAATTTAATGCATGTCTATAAGGAGATGATGATTGGCACAGAATGACATTTTGACATTTTTCCTATGGGAAAGCATAGGAAAAACTGGTGATATCAACCATGGAGGCGGAGACTGGAAAATGTGAGTAAAATTCCCTTTATTCTCCAGATAGAGGGAGATCAGGAACCTAATGCTGCATTCCAAGACTATGTCAGGAATATATGTTTGTATCCCATTAACTAGTGTCCCATTAACTAAAAAAAAAAAAAAAAATAGAGGTCGAACTCTTAATTTAAAATCAAATAAGTAAAATGCATTTTAGTGATTTATATGACACACACTTTGTTATGAATTATATACCATATATATTGCATAATAAAATTAAACCTAGCTAAAGCAAAAACTCACTATTAAACTTAAATTGCATAAAATTGCAGCAATTATATAACCCAATGTCTATGGCAGGCAGAAGACCAAGCCAACACCAATAGGGATGCTCTTATTCTACTATATGGAAATTTTACTTATCCCATAAACTTCTGCACGGCATCACACAAAATGAGTAAACTGCCCGATTAGGTGGTGACAGCTATAGCATGACTGCTATTAGCCGATTCCTAGCCCCATTCATTTTTTCTTAATAGAGCATTGTTCAGTGATCTCTCAAGCAGCTGACTACATGTCTGTGGCCACAGTTCTGCTCAGATGTAGATAGGGGAGGAGACTGATGTGCTAAGCATGTACCAATCCAGTGTGTTTGCACAAGTTGGACAATGGAAAGATGTAAAATATATATTTTTTTTAATATTTCAGATTTTTATTTTAAGAAAAAGGTAAGTTGGGGTACAGAAAAGAAAAGGGAAGGGGAAAACACGACACAAATACATTTTGCCAGCCACATGGCATTGAGATTTGAACAAGTGCAGCCTCGATCTGTAATACTAGGCATGTAATTAGAAAACAACTAGCTCATTTGAGATACTGCTAACATCGTTAAAACTTTGTTTATATCCGATGTACAACACAAGACCGGCATATTGCTAACATCCAGCAAACATACTGCCGACACAATGCTAACACCTTGGTCCCAATAGAATAGAGTGGCGTGAGTCACCCTCCGATCCCGAAGTACCTTGTGGGAGCGCGGGGGCTGGTTCCTATTAGTATGGGACTGTGTCTACACTAACCACGTGTGCCCATGTGTTTTGTTCATGTCACTATCTTGTAAGCTGCCCATGTATGTAGCCTTTTGTATTCTGCGAGCCATAGGTAGGGATAGGGGGAAGGGTGGGAGGAGGGGAAGGGGGGTCGGTGAGGTGATTAGCTTGGTAAGAATACGGGTAAACGACCTCTCATCTGGGTTTATGGCTGTTCGTGTTTGGGCATCTTTTGGACTGCCATTGAGGTATCCTGCCCCAAGCGTGGGTCATCTGTTGTCTATTCTTCACAGGAAAGAGCGTCAGTCATGAACCACGCCTCGTCCTTTAGATTTTCGGTGGTAGTTAAGGGCAAGCCACGGTTTCCAGAGTTCCTCTAGTTTCCTTGTCTTCACGTAGGAGTCGGAGGAGAGTACTTCATATTGGTAATATTGGTATACTTTGTCTATTAGCTCCTTGTTGGTCGGGCAATAAGTATCTTTCCAGTGAAGTGCCAAAAGGTTCCTGGCCGCTAAGATGATCAGGGAGGCAATTTTCCTGGTTTCCAGCCTCCACGTATCTGGGAACAGCAACAAGAGAGCTATCATCGGTGAGAGGAGGTGTGTTTCATTTGCTATAGTATTCAGCAATGCTTGCACTTGTGTCCAGAGGGGTTTGATCGCCTCGCACTCCCACCATATGTGGGTCATATGTCCGTCATGAGTACCGCATCTCCAGCACTTAGGGTTTACAGTACAGTATATTTTGTTCAACCGGTGTGGGGTAAGGTACCACCTATAGACAACCTTCTTGTGAGCTTCCACGTGAGAGAAACAAGACGTGATGCCTCGGAGCGCATTAAGGGATTTAAGCCATTGTTCATCCGTGAGCCTGGGCATCCCCTCTTTCTCCCCATGTGCTGTATATATGAAGGATCGGGTGAGGATTTGTCCAATAGAGCTTGGTAGCAAAGAAACAGGGTTTTAGGTCTTGTAGAAGCTGAGTGGCACCTTTCAAGGAGTAGTGTTGGAGAGTCATTTCAGTGTCCCAGGCCCTCAGGGTGAGGGCTGGGGTGGGGTATAACAAGGTCGTGTGCGGTCTATATGATTTTAAGGACCAAAGTATGCTCGTCAAGGGAATCGGGAGGACTTTGTCATGTTCCATGTCTGCCCACTGGAAAGTATTCCTGGGAGCATGGAGTCGGATAGCAGACTCGAGAATGGCTGCATTGTAGTAGGCTATCAGTTTCGGGAGTCCCAAGCCTCCCGCTGTTGGGGTTAGTTAGAGGAGAGAGAGAGGTGGGCGTGGTTTTGTGTTTCCCCATACAAATTTGTTCAGTGTATTCTGGACGATCTTAAACAATTGTAGTGGGGCTTGTAGGGGTAGCATTCTAAAGATATACAAGATTTTGGGCAGTATCATTATTTTAATTGTTTGGAGGTAAAATATTTTTTTGTCACCACTGGCGCAATTTCTAAAATTCAATGTGGTCATAAGGTAGTGTGTGCAGTAAACCAATGACAAGGAGATGCTAAACAACATATATATGTTGACTTTAAATTAAATGAGTGTAGGTTGTTATGATTCTTGGAGTGACCCTTAAAGTACAACTAACCACCACATGTCCCTCTGTGCAATTTGAAAAATGTAACACCCCAATTTTCCATGACTTTTCTAATATCTACAATTTGTGCACCTTCCAAAGTATTGTTATTGGCTGATTCCTAAAGTGCAGAAATTCAATGGTTTTCATATCCAGACCTAAAACGATATATATTTGTTCACTTATGTATACATATGTATGGCATACTGTACTTGAAATAATGCTTCCAAATTGTAAAAGGACCACTCAAACTCTACCCATTTTGCCTGTTAGGATAGATCACCTACAGAAGGGTGAGAAAAGCAAATGAGAATTTAGGAATGAATTATCCATATTTGGAAGATGTCCAGATAGTCTCACATTTGTTAGCTTGGCAGTTATTTTCTTTGCTGCTTCTCTAGTGGGTTTATTTATACAAACAAGTTTGTTGCATGGAACTAGCCGATGCACTCCGAGAATCCATGAATGGTCTGTGATGCATACTTTGTGTTCAGGAATCCAGATATAATTGACTATGTTGAATGCATTTGTCCACAAATTTAAACTTCTAAATGCATTCATCTGTGAGCAGCATTTTAGCCATGCTATTATGTTATTTTAGCCAGGAAATATGCATGAAAGAAGACACAAAATTCATCTTGTGTTTATGCATAGGGATTTGTTTGAGCACCTCCAATACTACAAGTAGTCATCATAAACTTCTATCCTTCTATGTACTTAGGGAACATTCCGCTTTGTCCATTGTTTCAGAACAGTGGAACCCTCATCTCGGGAGGCTCCTGGCAAAATCTCATGAGCAGCAGACAGTGATGTCACCATTCATTTAAAATGCTGGGAATAGTTTTCCTTTGCACTATGGTCAACTCTGTTCTGTATATTATTAAAAGAATTTCTAGGACACATAATCAAACAGAAAGAGAGGGCACTCCATTGTTGAGAGGACAGGCTCATGCTAAGCCAAACAAAGAGATCCTAGACATGGTTCTGAAACCTCAAAATAGAAGTAGGTAATGAGACTCTTGGATACTCATAGAGAGGTGTACATTGTAATCATCCTAATATAATTAATGAACACACAGAGTTTTACAGCTGTAGCATCTTGTCAAAATAATGTTTTAATATGACGAGTTTTATTTTATAAATGTATTTATTTATAAGTAAAGGCTATCTCTCCAGAATACAGGATTTTTTAGAAATCTTATTGTGAGCCCATTTATGCATCATAAAAAAAAATAATTGTTACATCCCTACCAATGTAATATTTATAGTTGAATATTTAGACTTAAAGGGATACTCCGAGCACCATAAAAACGTTTATCATAAAACTGGTATGTTTCTTTTCAAGCCAGTTTTCTGAATGGGGATTCACTGATTGGCTGAACGTGTCAGTTGACCACTCTTTAGAAAACAGAAGGGCAAAGAAGCAGCAAGATTCTGAGCTGGGACAAAGACTTTAGGGTCAAACCATTCGAGAATGGCTTAACCCCTTGAGGTGAGCCAGTGTCAGGGACCTCCTTGTACCGTAACAACTTCATGACTATATTGATTATCAAGAATATTGCACTAAAACACTAAAGAAACTGTCAGAATACGTTACATAAATTACATCCTTAAGGGGTACTTTGTGCACCATACATACTACTGCTCAGTGTAGTGGTTATGGTACAAAGAGTATGTGAGTGCATCCCAAAAATTGGGAGCAGTTTGGTAAAAATAAATTAACGTAGCTCTTCCCAGCACCCAGAGACACCTTCTTTTTTTAAGTTTAACCATTTCAAACAGTGGGGACTTTGCTCCAGTTTTTGGGGTGGAAGAAAACCCTCATATTATTAGGGTTGAAGACATTGCACACACTTTGGCTCTATAGTTATTTAAGACTATGGACTCAATTTCCTAGGCAATAGGAGCTTGGGAACCTCATATTACATTAACCTTCAATCAACCACCAATCTTATCTATCTTCTTTCATACTGGGACCTTACTTCTTGATCTATAAAATTACTCCAAATGAACTCAGACTCAAATTACTGGTTTAAAATATAAAAATAACAACCTCAGACAAGAAATTATTTTATGAATATTTATCAACTGAAAATTCCCTGCATATTTCATTTGATGTGGTAGTTAGTGTTGACCACAAAGCCAACATGATACATATCTCATATATTAAAGGTCACCATTTAAATACAAAGGAACGTGGGTAGAGAATTACAATGGAAGTAAGTGGGTCGTGGTCAATCAAGAAACCAGTACAGAGTGCATTTTACAGCTGAGAACTGCCAGCTCATAGACACTAAGACAGACTTCAAATGTTAGAAATAGAACTTCTTCTAAAATGTCCATTAGGCAGGGACATACCTGGATTATTTGGCACCCGGGGTGGATCTTATATTTGGCACCTGCTCCCTCTTCCCCCTTTTTAAAATGTAAAAAGAAAACACACACACATTTTTATTTTGTATTTAATGTATTTAGCATTGAGCAGTGTTTGCATTTTATTTTATGTATTTAGCACTGAGCAGTGTTTGTGTGTTTGAATGTAAGTATGTTTTTGTATGAAGTATGTGTGAGTGAATGTAGGGGTGTGTTTGCATGTAGTGTTGGCATTTGAATGCAGGTGTGCATTTTTGTGTAGTGTGTGTTTTGAATATGTGGTGTATTTTTATGTAGTGTTGATATTTGGATGCAGGGGTGTATTTGTGTGTAGTGTTGGTGAAATGCTGAGATGTATGCACATATACACATATACTCAAATATACACACACTGGCACATACAGATACACAGACATATAGGTATACACCGGCAGATACATATAAACACACTCATGCACAGATACAGACAAACACTGACACACATACAGATAGAGACATACAGATACAAACACACATATAGATACAAACACACACGCTTACAGACACACACTGACACACATGTACTCAGACACATAGGCACAGACAAACATACAGATACACACATACAGATTTACTGACACACAGATACAAACACAGACACACAGATACACAGACACACATACCAATACACGTTTTGAGAGAATATGTGGAATGGTTGTTGAGGGAAGATATATTAGGCCTGATTTACTAAACAGCAGCATGAGGTTTCTCAACTAAATGCCCCAGGGAGAGATGTTAGGTTTGCAAGATACATTGTTGGTACTCTGCAAACCATGGAAAGGGTCCCTGGGGCGAGGCATTTGGAGAGCAGGGTGGGCCACTGCTCCAATAGCACTAGTTGCTAGATAACAGCCAGACCAGATCTTGTATATACCTTAGAAATTCCAGAGATGTGAACTAATTGATACTCACCTCTAGCTGGTCAATTAGCAGGCAGGCTTTTAAAAGAAGGGATCAGCCTGCTGCAGAGTGAGGGAGAAAGAGCCAGAGGGATGGTGTGTCTTGCAGCTATATTTTGTTATTATAAATTGGTAAGTGGGAAAGCCACCCAATTCCAGATAGTGATTGCTGTGTTTAGTAAGTGCTCAAACAAGAGCAAGGAATTTTGTTTTGTTTATTTTATTTTGACGCTCCTGTATATTTTGCACTCTAGAAGGCTGTGGTTACCCTAAGATCTGTGACAAAATCCTACCGGTAAAAGATGTGGTTTGTTACAACATATACAGACACACATATAGATACACAGACACACAAGTATAAGTGTGTGTGTGTGTGTGTGTGTGTGTTTTTATTGTATGCAGTATGTATTTGTGTAGTGTATGTGTTTGTGTACTGTATGCAGTGTGTGTACAGTGTGTGTATAGTGTGTATGCAGTGTGTATAGTGAGCAGTGTGTATTGTTTGTGTGTGTGTGTGTGTGTGTGTGTGTCCTACCCGATTCTTACCTGTGTCCAGGGAGAGGAAACACACTACATTCCCTGGTTGTCCGGTGGCACAGTATGGTTCCCCAAAGAAGAGGGGCTCAGGAGTCTCCACATCCAGCAGCAGTATGGCCAATAGGACAAAAAAATATAATCTTCAAAGAAATAATTAAATTGACTGTAGTCTAAAATAGTCATTCTTTCCAAAACACAAGTGATATGTATTTCTTCCCATTCTAAATAAGACTTTCTTTTCCATAACAGCTTTACCCCAGATAACCATGCTACAAACATTTTGGAAGAGTTTCCTCTTGTTGTGGTAGCTTTTCTTCTTTTAAATATAGTCTCCTCCTTTACTGTGTTGATTCCCTTTATGTATTTAAATGTTTCTATCATATCCCGCCTGTTTCATCTTTCCTCCAAGCCATACGTGTTAAGATCCTTTAACCTTTCCTTGTAAGTT